TTCCAACGAGGTTTTAAATAGTTTTCGAAAAGTTCCAACGAGTTTCTAGTGTTTCAACATGTTAAAAAATACTCGTTGGATTTTTAATTTTTTTTTTTTTTGCTTTTGATGAATTTTTAACAGTACCTAATAAGTTTCACGAAAGTTTCTAGAAAGTTTCCAAGAAGTTCCAATGAGTTTCTAGTGTTTCAACATGTTAAAAAACACTCATAGAATTTTTTCAAATTTTATTTTGGACTTTCCAATGAATTTTTATCATTTTCCAACGAGTTTTTAAATAGTTTCCGAAAAGTTCCAACGAGTTTGTAGTGTTTCAACATGTTAAAAAATACTCGTAGAATTTTTTCAAATTTTATTTTGGACTTTCCAATGAATTTTTATCATTTTCCAACGAGTTTTTAAATAGTTTCCGAAAAGTTCCAACGAGTTTCTAGTGTTTCGACATGTTAAAAAACACTCATAGAATTTTTTCAAATTTTATTATGGATTTTCCAATGAATTTTTATCATTTTCCAACGGGGTTTTGAAAAGTTTCCGAAAAGTTCCAACGAGTTTCTAGTGTTTCAACATGTTAAAAAATACTCGTTGGATTTTTAAATTTTTTTTTTTTAGCTTTTGATGAATTTTTAACAGTACCTAATAAGTTTCTAGAAAGTTTCCAAGAAGTTCCAATGAGTTTCTAGTGTTTCAACATGTTAAAAAATACTCGTAGAATTTTTTCAAATTTTATTTTGGACTTTCCAATGAATTTTTATCATTTTCCAACGAGTTTTTAAATAGTTTCCGAAAAGTTCCAACGAGTTTCTAGTGTTTCGACATGTTAAAAAACACTCATAGAATTTTTTCAAATTTTATTATGGATTTTCCAATGAATTTTTATCATTTTCCAACGGGGTTTTGAAAAGTTTCCGAAAAGTTCCAACGAGTTTCTAGTGTTTCAACATGTTAAAAAATACTCGTTGGATTTTTAAATTTTTTTTTTTTAGCTTTTGATGAATTTTTAACAGTACCTAATAAGTTTCTAGAAAGTTTCCAAGAAGTTCCAATGAGTTTCTAGTGTTTCAACATGTTAAAAAATACTCGTTGGATTTTTAAAATTTTTTTTTTTAGCTTTTGATGAATTTTTAACAGTACCTAATAAGTTTCTAGAAAGTTTCCAAGAAGTTCCAATGAGTTTCTAGTGTTTCAACATGTTAAAAAGCACTCATAGAATTTTTTCAAATTTTATTTTGGACTTTCCAATGAATTTTTATCATTTTCCAACGAGGTTTTAAATAGTTTCCGAAAAGTTCCAACGAGTTTCTAGTGTTTCAACATGTTAAAAAATACTCGTAGAATTTTTTCAAATTTTATTTTGGACTTTCCAATGAATTTTTATCATTTTCCAACGAGGTTTTAAATAGTTTCCAAAAAGTTCCAATGACTTTCTAGTGCTTCAACATGTTAAAAAACACTCATAGAATTTTTTCAAATTTTATTTTGGATTTTCCAATGAATTTTTATCATTTTCCAACGGGGTTTTGAAAAGTTTCCGAAAAGTTCCAACGAGTTTCTAGTGTTTCAACATGTTAAAAAATACTCGTTGGATTTTTAAAATTTTTTTTTTTAGCTTTTGATGAATTTTTAACAGTACCTAATAAGTTTCTAGAAAGTTTCCAAGAAGTTCCAATGAGTTTCTAGTGTTTCAACATGTTAAAAAATACTCGTTGGATTTTTAAAATTTTTTTTTTTAGCTTTTGATGAATTTTTAACAGTACCTAATAAGTTTCTAGAAAGTTTCCAAGAAGTTCCAATGAGTTTCTAGTGTTTCAACATGTTAAAAAGCACTCATAGAATTTTTTCAAATTTTATTTTGGACTTTCCAATGAATTTTTATCATTTTCCAACGAGGTTTTAAATAGTTTTCGAAAAGTTCCAACGAGTTTCTAGTGTTTCAACATGTTAAAAAATACTCGTTGGATTTTTAATTTTTTTTTTTTTGCTTTTGATGAATTTTTAACAGTACCTAATAAGTTTCACGAAAGTTTCTAGAAAGTTTCCAAGAAGTTCCAATGAGTTTCTAGTGTTTCAACATGTTAAAAAACACTCATAGAATTTTTTCAAATTTTATTTTGGACTTTCCAATGAATTTTTATCATTTTCCAACGAGTTTTTAAATAGTTTCCGAAAAGTTCCAACGAGTTTGTAGTGTTTCAACATGTTAAAAAATACTCGTAGAATTTTTTCAAATTTTATTTTGGACTTTCCAATGAATTTTTATCATTTTCCAACGAGGTTTTAAATAGTTTCCAAAAAGTTCCAATGACTTTCTAGTGCTTCAACATGTTAAAAAACACTCATAGAATTTTTTCAAATTTTATTTTGGATTTTCCAATGAATTTTTATCATTTTCCAACGGGGTTTTGAAAAGTTTCCGAAAAGTTCCAACGAGTTTCTAGTGTTTCAACATGTTAAAAAATACTCGTTGGATTTTTAAAATTTTTTTTTTTAGCTTTTGATGAATTTTTAACAGTACCTAATAAGTTTCTAGAAAGTTTCCAAGAAGTTCCAATGAGTTTCTAGTGTTTCAACATGTTAAAAAATACTCGTTGGATTTTTAAAATTTTTTTTTTTAGCTTTTGATGAATTTTTAACAGTACCTAATAAGTTTCTAGAAAGTTTCCAAGAAGTTCCAATGAGTTTCTAGTGTTTCAACATGTTAAAAAGCACTCATAGAATTTTTTCAAATTTTATTTTGGACTTTCCAATGAATTTTTATCATTTTCCAACGAGGTTTTAAATAGTTTCCGAAAAGTTCCAACGAGTTTCTAGTGTTTCAACATGTTAAAAAATACTCGTAGAATTTTTTCAAATTTTATTTTGGACTTTCCAATGAATTTTTATCATTTTCCAACGAGGTTTTAAATAGTTTCCAAAAAGTTCCAATGACTTTCTAGTGCTTCAACATGTTAAAAAACACTCATAGAATTTTTTCAAATTTTATTTTGGATTTTCCAATGAATTTTTATCATTTTCCAACGGGGTTTTGAAAAGTTTCCGAAAAGTTCCAACGAGTTTCTAGTGTTTCAACATGTTAAAAAATACTCGTTGGATTTTTAAAATTTTTTTTTTTAGCTTTTGATGAATTTTTAACAGTACCTAATAAGTTTCTAGAAAGTTTCCAAGAAGTTCCAATGAGTTTCTAGTGTTTCAACATGTTAAAAAATACTCGTTGGATTTTTAAAATTTTTTTTTTTAGCTTTTGATGAATTTTTAACAGTACCTAATAAGTTTCTAGAAAGTTTCCAAGAAGTTCCAATGAGTTTCTAGTGTTTCAACATGTTAAAAAGCACTCATAGAATTTTTTCAAATTTTATTTTGGACTTTCCAATGAATTTTTATCATTTTCCAACGAGGTTTTAAATAGTTTTCGAAAAGTTCCAACGAGTTTCTAGTGTTTCAACATGTTAAAAAATACTCGTTGGATTTTTAATTTTTTTTTTTTTGCTTTTGATGAATTTTTAACAGTACCTAATAAGTTTCACGAAAGTTTCTAGAAAGTTTCCAAGAAGTTCCAATGAGTTTCTAGTGTTTCAACATGTTAAAAAACACTCATAGAATTTTTTCAAATTTTATTTTGGACTTTCCAATGAATTTTTATCATTTTCCAACGAGTTTTTAAATAGTTTCCGAAAAGTTCCAACGAGTTTGTAGTGTTTCAACATGTTAAAAAATACTCGTAGAATTTTTTCAAATTTTATTTTGGACTTTCCAATGAATTTTTATCATTTTCCAACGAGTTTTTAAATAGTTTCCGAAAAGTTCCAACGAGTTTCTAGTGTTTCGACATGTTAAAAAACACTCATAGAATTTTTTCAAATTTTATTATGGATTTTCCAATGAATTTTTATCATTTTCCAACGGGGTTTTGAAAAGTTTCCGAAAAGTTCCAACGAGTTTCTAGTGTTTCAACATGTTAAAAAATACTCGTTGGATTTTTAAATTTTTTTTTTTTAGCTTTTGATGAATTTTTAACAGTACCTAATAAGTTTCTAGAAAGTTTCCAAGAAGTTCCAATGAGTTTCTAGTGTTTCAACATGTTAAAAAATACTCGTAGAATTTTTTCAAATTTTATTTTGGACTTTCCAATGAATTTTTATCATTTTCCAACGAGTTTTTAAATAGTTTCCGAAAAGTTCCAACGAGTTTCTAGTGTTTCAACATGTTAAAAAATACTCGTAGAATTTTTTCAAATTTTATTTTGGACTTTCCAATGAATTTTTATCATTTTCCAACGAGTTTTTAAATAGTTTCCGAAAAGTTCCAACGAGTTTCTAGTGTTTCAACATGTTAAAAAACACTCATAGAATTTTTTCAAATTTTATTTTGGACTTTCCAATGAATTTTTATCATTTTCCAACGAGGTTTTAAATAGTTTCCGAAAAGTTCCAACGAGTTTCTAGTGTTTCAACATGTTAAAAAATACTCGTAGAATTTTTTCAAATTTTATTTTGGACTTTCCAATGAATTTTTATCATTTTCCAACGAGTTTTTAAATAGTTTCCGAAAAGTTCCAACGAGTTTCTAGTGTTTCAACATGTTAAAAAACACTCATAGAATTTTTTCAAATTTTATTTTGGACTTTCCAATGAATTTTTATCATTTTCCAACGGGGTTTTGAAAAGTTTCCGAAAAGTTCCAACGAGTTTCTAGTGTTTCAACATGTTAAAAAATACTCGTTGGATTTAAAAAAATTTTTTTTTTGGCTTTTGATGAATTTTTAATAGTACCTAATAAGTTTCTAGAAAGTTTCCAAGAAGTTCCAACGAGTTTCTAGTGTTTCAACATGTTAAAAAACACTCATAGAATTTTTTCAAATTTTATTTTGGACTTTCCAATGAATTTTTATCATTTTCCAACGAGGTTTTAAATAGTTTCCGAAAAGTTCCAACGAGTTTCTAGTGTTTCTAGTGTTTCAACATGTTAAAAAAAAAAAAAAATTGCACTTTTTTTGTTTTTACCTGAGGGCGCCATTGAACAAACTGGCCATGAAAAGTCCCAAAATGCCCGGCAAATAGCTGAAACGGTCTTCGACGAAAAACGGTAAAATTTCGTCGTATTTTTTTATGTAGCCTGACGTCAGGGGATCGCAAGAGGCGTAAACTGCGTAGACTACCATGCCAACCACCCACGATAAGCTGAACAGCACTGTAATCACCGGGATGTTGTACATCAGAGTCCTGTTGTAGATAAAATGTATTAGGTTATATGTAGAGAATTTTATTGGCTTCAATTTGAGCCTAATTACGTTAAAATCGGATGAAAATTAACGGAGTTATGGGACAAAATATGCGTCGATGTCATTTTTGAAAAAAAATCAAATTTTGTGCGATATCGACAAAAAAATCGATATCGACGAAAAAAATCGATACCGACAAAAAAATCGATATTCACTAAAAATCGATATCGATATTGAGGGTTACCTAAAATTCGTAACTGTATGAAAAAATACCACTTTTTTACTCACTTAGTGACTTGTTTTTGCGAGTCCATGCTACAGTAGCGTTGCACGAAATTCTGTTGACAGCCGAAAATTGACAGCGACATGAAAAGTTGGCCGATGATGGCCGAAGGCGTGGTCACACGAATGGTCGGGTCCAAATTCCAGCTAAAAAAATTCAGAAATTCTTTTATGATTTTTTGTAAATTTTCATAATTTTGGTTAATTTTCATGATTTTTGTGAATTTTCATAATTTTTATGAATTTTTAGATTTTTGTTAATTTTTATGATTTTTGTGAATTTTTATGATTTTTGTGAATTTTTTGAATTTTCATGATTTTCATGATTTTTCATAATTTTTGTTAATTTTCATGATTTTTGTCAATTTTTATACTTTTTGCGAATTTTCATGATTTTTATGAATTTTTAAATTTTTGTTAATTTTTATGATTTTTGTGAATTTTTTGAATTTTCATGATTTTTCATAATTTTTGTTAATTTTCATGATTTTTGTAAATTTTTATAATTTTTGCGAATTTTCATGATTTTTGTTAATTTTTGTTTTTGTAAAATTTCATGATTTTTATAAATTTCTATTTTTATGAATTTTCATAATTTTTTTTGAGTTTTCATGATTTTTGTGAGTTTTCATGATTTTTGTGAATTTTCATGTTTGACGGTTTTTGTTACCTTTTATGATTTTTGTAAATTTTCATGATTTTTGTTAATTTTTATGATTTTTGTTGATTTTCATGATTTTTGTAAATTTTTATGATTTTTGTGAGTTTTTATATTTTTGTGAATTTTTATATTTTTGTGAATTTTTATGATTTTTATAATTTTTATTAATTTTCATGTTTTCTTTGATTTTTATGAAATTTTATAATTTTTGTTGATTTTCATGATTTTTTATGATTTTTGTGAATTTTCATGATTTTTGTGAATTTTCATAATTTTTGTGAATTCATGATTTTTGTCAATTTTCATGATTTCAATGATTTTTATGAATTTTCATAATTTTTGTTGATTTTCATGATTTTTTATGATTTTTGTGAATTTTTATGATTTCTGTGAATTTTCATAATTTTTATGAATTTTTATGATTTTTATGAATTTTCATAATTTTTGTTGATTTCATGATTTTCTATGATTTTTGTAAATTTTCATGATTTTTGTGAACTTTCATGATTTTTGTGAATTCTTATGATTTTTGTGAATTTTCATAATTTTTGTGAATTTTCATGACTTTTGTGAATTTTCATAATTTTTATGAATTTTTATGATTTTTATGAATTTTATGAATTTTCATAATTTTAGTTGATTTCATGATTTTCTATGATTTTTGTAAATTTTCATGATTTTTGTGAACTTTCATGATTTTTGTGAATTTTTACGATTTTTGTGAATTTTCATAATTTTCATGATTTTTTTGAATTTTCATGATTTTTGTAAATTTTCATGATTTTTGTGAATTTTTATATTTTTGCGAATTTTTATGATTTTTATGAATTTTTATAATTTTTGTTGATTTTCATGATTTTTTATGATTTTTGTGAATTTTTATGATTTTTGTGAATTTTCATAATTTTTATGAATTTTTATGATTTTTATGAATTTTCATAATTTTTGTTGATTTCATGATTTTCTATGATTTTTGTAAATTTCCATGATTTTTGTGAACTTTCATGATTTTTGTGAATTTTTATGATTTTTGTGAATTTTCATAATTTATGTTGATTTTCATGATTTTTTATGATTTTTGTAAATTTTCATGATTTTTGTGAATTTTGATGTTTGACAGTTTTTGTTACCTTTTATGATTTTTGTGAATTTTTATATTTTTGTGAATTTTTATGAATTTTTATAATTTTTGTTGATTTTCATGATTTTTTATGATTTTTGTGAATTTTTATGATTTTTGTGAATTTTCATAATTTTCATGATTTTTTTGAATTTTCATGATTTTCATGATTTTTGTCAATTTTTATAATTTTTGCGAATTTTCGAAGACTTATGATTTTCATAAATTTTTGTTATTTTCGATTAACTGTCAAAATAATGACATTTAACAGGTAGCATTTTTTTAAACTTTCCAACTGTCAAATTAAATTTTGACACCTGATACAGAAGCAGAAATATTTTTATTACAAAAATTCAGATTCAAATAAACAATAAATCATATTTAACTGTCAAAATAATGATATTTCATAGGAGTCAATTTTTTCAATAATCTTTTAACTGTCAAATTTAATTTTGACAGCTAATACAAGAGTTACGATTTTTCTGTTACAAAAATGAAAAAAAATATATAATTTAACGTCAAAATAATGACATTTGGCAAGTGTAATTTTTTTCACAATCTTCAACTGTCAAAATATTAATATTTGACAGGTGTCAAAAATTGAAAAAAAAAAGAATTTTCAAAAAAAAAGAGAAAAAAAACCGTCAAAAAAAAAAATTCAGAAAAAATTTTCGAAAAATAAAATTTCAAAAATGATACTCAGAAATCAAAAAACTCACTTGAAAAAATCCAATCTTCCGTCTCTTTTGCTCACGTTGAAAACGTCGACGAAACCGCCCGCCTCGACGCACCCTTGGACGATGATGGCGACGCAAATGGCGATCATGGTCAGGCCCTGCATGACGTCAGCCAAAATGGCCGCTTTAAGACCGCCCTGAAAAAAAAAAAAAAAAACTCAGAAATTCATTTTTATATGACTCAGAAATACATTTTGGCTCAGAAAAATACGTATTTTAATAGGTAAGAAATACATTTTGAATCAGAAAAACATTTCAGTCGGGAATACAATATACTGTTCTTTGATTCAGAAATACATTTTGGCTCAAAAAAATTTTACAATATACGTCTCAGAAATTTCTTTATTCTTCAGAAATACATTTTTATATGACTCAGAAATACATTTTGAAAAATTTTCGGAAATACGGCTCAGAAATTCATTTTTTCTTCAAAAATTATTTTTATAGACGGAAATACAATAAATGGCTCAGAAATTTGTGTTTTATTCAGAAATACATTTTTACATGACTCAGAAATACATTTTAAATTAGAAATACATTTTATTCGGATATACAATATACTGCTCAGAAATTCAGAATTTTTTTCATTTGAAAATACATTTGCATATGACTCAGAAATACAGTTTCACTCGAAAACAAAGTTTAGTCGAAAATACAATATACAGCTCAGAAATTTCTTTTTTCCTCAGAAATACACTCTTATATGACTCAGAAATACATTTTGACTCAGGAATTTTTTTTTCACCTAGAAATACATTTTGATTTTAAAAAAAATATATATTTTGCTCAGAAATATATTTTTCGCCATATGACTCAGAAATAAATTTTTTGACGCAGTAAAATATATTAATCGGAAACACCTCTGAAATTTTTTCTTCAGAAATACATTTTGACTCAGAAGTTCATTGTTGCTCAGATTTTTTTTTTCAGAGATCATTTTTACTGGAAAATACATAGTCAATCTGAAATAAATTTTGACTCAGGAATACGTATATTATGAGCCAGAAATACATTTGAACTCACAAGCACATTTTTGATAGAAAATTTCTTTTTCATGGAAATACATTCTTGACTCAGAAATACATTCTTGGCTCAGGAATACATTCTTGACACAGAAATACATTCTTGGCTCAGGAATAAATTCCTGACTCAGAAATATATGCTTGACTCAGAAACACATTTTTGACTCAGAAATACATTTCTACTCGGAAAAACGTTAAAACTCAGACAAAAATACATTTATGACTTGAAAAAAAGATTTTTTTTGCTCAGAACAGTATTTTTTACTCAGAAATACAATATGACTCAGAAATACATTTTAACTCAAAAACACAGTTCCACTCCGAAATACTATGACTCAGAAATTTATTATTTTGACAGTTAACAAATGTGATTTTGACAGTGGTCAATATTGAAAGTTGTCATTAATTGCGATTTTGACAATTGCAATGACTTTGACAGTTGTCAAAAAAAAAAATTGACAGTTATCATTATCAAATATGATTTCAGAAGTCGTTAATAATAGTTATTTTGACAGTTTATATATGCGATTTTGACAGTTTTAATTATTATTTCAATATTGGTCAATAATTGCGATTTTTGACAGCCGTTAATAATAAATATTTTGACAGTGGACAAATGTGATTTTGATAATTGCAATAATTGCGATTTTTTGACAGTTGTCAAAAAATTAAAATTTGACAGTTATCATTTTCAAATATAATTTCAAAAATCGTTAATAGTAATTATTTTGACAGTTGACATGTGCGATTTTGACAGTTGTAATTGTTATTTCAACATTAGTTAATAATTGCAATTTTTGACAGCCGTTAATATTAGATATTTTACCAGTGGCCAAATGTGATTTTGACAGTTTTCAATTATTGCGATTTTAAAGTTGTCATTGATTGCAGTTTTGACAATTGCAATAATTGCGTTTTTTGACAGTTGTCAAAAAATTAAAATTTGACAGTTATCATTTTCAAATATGATTTCAAAAGTCTTTAATAGTAATTATTTTGACATTTAATATATGCGATTTTGACAGTTGTAATTTTCATTTCAATATTGGTCAATAATTGCGATTTTTGACAGTTGTTAATAATGAATATTTTGACAGTGAACAAATACGATTTTGACAGTTTTCAATAATTTCGATTTTGAAAGTTGTCAATGAATGCAGTTTTGATAATTGCGATAATTGCGTTTTATGACAGTTGTCAAGAAATGAAAATTTGACAGTTATAATTATCAAATATGATTTCAAAAATCGTTAATAGTAATTATTTTGACAGTTGACATATGCGATTTTGACAGTTGTAATTGTCATTTCAATATTGAGCAATGATTGCGATTTTTGACAGCCGTTAATAATAAATATTTTGACAGGTGACAAATGTGATTTTGACAGTTTTCAATAATTGCGATTTTGAAAGTTGTCATTGATTGCGATTTTGACAATTGCATTAATTGCAATTTTTTGACAGTTGTCAAAAAATTAAAATTTGATCATTTTCAAATATGATTTCAAAAGTCGTTCATAGTAATTATTTTGACAGGTAATATATGCGATTTTGACAGTTGTAATTGTGATTTCAATATTGGTCAATAATTGCGATTTTTGACAGCCGTTAATAATAAATAATTTGACAGTAAACAAATGCGATTTTGACGGTTTTCAATAATTTCGATTTTGAAAGTTGTCAATGAATGCGATTTTGATAATTGCGATAATTGCGTTTTATGACAGTTGTCAAGAAATGAAAATTTGACAGTTATTATTATCAAATATGATTTCAAAAATCGTTAATACTAATTATTTTGACAGTTGACATATGCGATTTTGACAGTTGTAATTGTCATTTCAATATTGAGCAATGATTGCGATTTTTGACGGCCGTTAATAATAGATATTTTGACAGGTTGTCGGTTTTGACAGTTTCCAATAATTGCGATTTTGAAATTTGTCATTGATTGCGATTTTGACAATTGCATTAATTGCAATTTTTTGACAGTTGTCAAAAAATTAAAATTTGATCATTTTCAAATATGATTTCAAAAGTCGTTCATAGTAATTATTTTGACAGGTAATATATGCGATTTTGACAGTTGTAATTGTTATTTCAACATTGGTCAATAATTGCGATTTTTGACAGCCGTTAATAATAAATAATTTGACAGTAAACAAATGCGATTTTGACGGTTTTCAATAATTGCGATTTTGAAAGTTATCATTGATTTTGATTTTGACAATTGCAATAATTGCTTTTTTTGACAGTTATCGAAAAATTAAAATTTGACAGTTATCATTATCAAATATGATTTCAAAAGTCGTTAATAGTAATTATTTTGACAGTTGACATATGCGATTTTGACAGTTGTAATTGTTATTTCAACATTGGTCAATAATTGCGATTTTTGACAGCTGTTAATAATAAATATTTTGACAGGTGACAAATGTGATTTCGACAGTTTCTAATAATTGCGATTCTGAAAGTTATCATTGATTTCGATTTTGACAATTGCAATAATTGCGATTTTTGACAGTTGTCAAAAATTAAAATTTGACAGTTATCATTATCAAATATGATTTCAAAAGTCGTTAATATTAATTATTTTGACAGTTAACACATGCGATTTTGACAGTTATATTTGTTATTTCAACATAAATCGATAATTGCGATTTTTGACAGCCGTTAATAATAAATATTTTGACAGGTGACAAATTTAATTTTGACAGTTTTCAATAATTGCAATTTGGAAAGTTGCACAATTGCGTTTTATGACAGTTGTCAAAAAATTAAAATTTGACAGTTATTCCTATCAAATATGATTTGAAAAGTCGTTAATAGTAATTGTTTTGACAGTTAGCATATGCAATTTTGACAGTTGTAATGATAGTCAATAATTGCGACTTTTGACAGCCGTTAATAATAACTATATTAATAGTTGACAAATATGATTTTGACAATCGTCAATAATAACTACATATTTTGACAATTAACGGATGGGATATTCACAATTGTTAATAATTGCGTTTTTTGATAGTTGACGTGATTTTGACAGTTTTTATTTTTTTTTGTCATTATGTCGGTTATCAATAATTGCGATTTTGACAGTTGTCAATAATTGCTTTTTTTTGACAGTTGATAAATGTGAATTTGACAGTTGTCATTATTTGCGATTTTGCAGGTTGTCAATAATTGCGATCATTAACAATGCTCAATTATTAAATTTTTGATAGTTGTCAATTGCGATGTTTGAAAATTGAAGATGTGATTTTGACAATTGACAAATATGATAATGACAGTTGTCAATAATAACTATTTTGACAATTAATAAATGTGATTTTGACAGTTGTAAATAATTGCGTAATTTTGACAGTTGTTAGTAACGTAGTTTTGACAGTTGTCAGTAACGTAATTTTGACAGTTGTCAGTAAAGTAATTTTGACAGTTGTCATTAACGTAATTTTTACAGTCGTCAGTAACGTAAATTTAGCACAAGTTGAATGTGACTTTGACATCAAATATGACTATTTTGTCAGTTACCGAATATGATTTTGACAAATGTAAATAATTGGGATTTTGACAGTTGTCAACTGGAGCAATTCCGATTTAGATGGTTGTCAATGCGATTATCGACAACGTTTTATTAATGTTGTATTTGACAATAATTCCCAATGGCGATTTTGAGAATTTACAATTGACAAATTTGATTTTGACAGTTGACAGATGTGATTTTGACAGATGACAAATGTAATTTTGTCAAATAAAAAATGTAATTTTCACAGACAATAATAACTATTTTGACAGTTAACGAATGTGATTTTGACAATTGTTATTAACTGTAATTTTGACGATTGTCAATAATTGCGACTATTGACAATTGTTATCTAATAACGTGATTTTTGATAGTTGTCAATAATTTCAATTTTTGACAAATTTGACGAATTCGATTTTGACACTGACAAATATTATTTTGACAGCCGGCAATATTTTTACAGTTATTAGAAATTCGATATTGACAGTCGTCAATAATGTTGACATCTTTTGATAACGTTATTTTGACAGTTGTCAATAATGTAACTTTTACAGTTGTCAATAGTACGACTTTGACAGTTGTCTATAATTGCAATTTTCATATAAATTCATTGTAACTTTGACAACTGTCAAAAATATGACAAAAATGATTTTGACAGTTGTCAGTAACGTAATTTTGACAGTTATTTATAGTGTAATTTTACATGTGTCAAAAATACAACTTTGACAGTTGTCAATAATTGCAATTTTGACACAAGTTCAAGGTGACTTTGGCAGCTGTCAAAAATACGACTATTTTGACAGTTGCGAATAATTCTCTTCTTTCTAAAAATACAATAATATGACTCAGAAATATATTTTCGCTCAAAAAACATTTTGACTCAGTAATACAATATGACTCAGAAATTTATTTTCTTTCTAGAAATAGAAGACTAAGAAATATAAAATGGTTAAAAAATATATTTTGACTGAAAAAAATATTTTGGCTCAGAAGTAAAATATGACTCAGAAATATAGTTTGACTCAGAAAAAACATTTTGAGTCAAAAATACAATATCATTCAGAAATACATTTTTACTCAGGAATACAATATGACTCAGAAATGAAGTTTGACTCGGGATAACAATTTGACTCTGAAAAAAACATTTTGACTCAGAAATAGAAAAAAAATGACTCAGAAATACAATATGACTCAGAAATATAGTTTGAATCAGAAAAACAATTTGACTCAGAAAAAACATTTTGAGTCAAAAATACAATATGATTCAGAAATACATTTTTTTTCAGGGATACAGTATGACTCAGAAATACAATTTGACTCAGAAAAAAAACATTTTGAGTCAAAAATACAATATGATTCAGAAATACATTTTTACTCAGAAATACAATATGACTCAGAAATAAAGTTTGACTCAGAAAAACAATTTGACTCAGAAAAACATTTTGACTCAGAAATACCAAATGACTCAGAAATATATTTTGACTAAAAAAATATTTTGACTCAGAAATATAATATGACTCAGAAATTATTTTGACTCAGAAAAACAATTTGACTCAGAAAAAATATTTTGATTCAGAAAAACATTTATTTCAAAAATGTTTTGAAAAAAAATTAAAACATTGATACACATTTTGCCCCATAACTCCGTTAATTTTCATCCGATTTTAACGTAATTAGGCTCAAAATAAAGCTAATTAAATTATCTACAAATCACTACTGAGATAATTTTGACGTATCTTCAATAGTTTCAGAGTTATCAAGCTTCAAATACTGACAGCACCTCCACCTAAAGCTCCCAAAGCACATAGACTTACCAAAATATTAAAAACGATGCTGACCACAGATATCCCTACTATTGAGGCCCAATAAGGTACTCCAATGACCGTATTAAGAGCGACACAGGGCGTAAAAACCGTAACCCCCTGATTCAAAAGTTGCCGGACGACGTACGTCCCTGACGCTAAACACCGGACAAGTCTAGACTTGAACCGCATATCCAAATATTGATAGACAGACGTGATTTTTAAACTGAAATAAACCGGCACAAACACGAAACACACTATAGGATAGGCCAGGACCATTCCGTAAAGGGTCTCCCACATTGCGCTGCCTCTGTAGAACAACTCAGAAGGATAACCTGAAACAAAAAAATATTGACTCAGAAATACATTTTTTTTTTGACTCAGAAATACTTTTTCTAACTCAGAAATTGAGAAAAAAAAAATTACCTAAAAAAGATCTGACTCCTAAAGTTCCTCGGGCGATGCTCAGCATCATGGCGGCCATCGATACTTTTCCGGCCGCGAAAACATAGTCGGCCTTGGTTTTTTCCTTGGGGCCGAAAAACCTGGAGTAAACGGCGACGAAGGTGCTGGCCAGCACAAATATGACGAAAACTAAATAGTCCCATATCATGGAACTCGTGTCCTTGGACATTTTTTTTTAATCTGGAAAAAAAATATATTTTGCATTGGTTTCGTTTTTGGCTTATAGCTTCGTTATTTTTGGTCGGATTGTGACGTCATTTAACTCAAAATGAAGCCAATTGAATTCTCTACAAAATCTCTAATTTACGGTTTTTATGTAGCTTGAATAGTTTCGGAGCTACAAGGCTTCACATTACAATTTTTAAAAATTGTACTAAATTCCACTTTACAGTATTTTATCTATTGACATTTTTGACAGTTTTTTGTCAACACTTTTGACAGTTTTTTTATCTATTGACATGTTTACAGTTTTTTACCTATTGAAATTTCTGACAGTTTCCTATCTATTGACAGCTTTTTATGTATTGATATTTTTGACAGTTTTTTTCTATTGACACTTTTGACAGTTTTTTTATTTTTACAATTATTGTCCACCGATATTTTTGAATTTTTTTTTTCATTTATCCACATCTTTCACAATTTTTTGTTTATTGAAATTTTTGACAATTTTCTATTTATTGAAATTTTTGACAGTTTGTCATTCATTGATTCTAACAGTTTATTTATTGAAATTTTTTTTATCTCTTGATATTTCTGACAGTTTTTTTTTATCTATTGACATTTTTGACAGTTTTTTTATTTATTGATATTTTTGACAATTTTTTTTATTTATTGACAGTTTTTTTTTTATTTATTGATCTTTTTTTCTATTATTGACATTTCTGACAGTTTTTTAGTTTATTGACATTTTTGACCGTTTTTTTAATTTGTTGTCATTTTTTTGACAGAGCGCGTCGACAGGAAGTCTTTTGGCAATTTAATTTTTTAATGATTTGTTTTGATTTCAATTATTGACATTTTTATTTTTTCCTATTTCTATTTAATGACAATTTTTCCTTTATTAACATTGTTGACAGTTTTTCATTTGTTGATATTTTTGACATTTTTTCATTTATTGACAGTTTTTTTAATTTTCAAAATTGTTGACAATATTGAGTTTCGACAATTTATATTGACATTTGACATTTTTAAGGGTTAACAACATTTTCGACAGTTTTTCCTATTTGTTGACATTTTTTCCTTCATCAACATTTTTGATAGTTTTTCATTTATTGACATTTTTGACATTTTTTCGTTTATTAACAGCTTTTTTGATTTTCGAAATTTTTGACAGCTTTGAGTTTCAACAATTTATTTTGACTTTTAACATTTTTGAGTGTTTATTTATTGACATTTTAGACAATTTTTTCATTTCTTGACATTTTTGACAATTTTTCATTGATTAGCAGTTTTTTTCTATTTACTGACACTTCTGACAGTATTTTTATTCATCAACATATTTGACAGGTATTTCATTTAGTGACACTTTTGATAACTTTTTTTATTGATTAACATTTTTGATAATTTTTAATTTATTTACATTTTGACAATTGTTTCATTAGTTGACATTTGACATGATTGTTTCATTAGTTAACAATTGATAATTATTTTATTTTTTGACATTTGACAGTTTTTTGTTGACATTTAACAATTGTATCACTAGTTCATATTTGACAATTTTTTTGTTTATTGACATTAATTTTTTACCGTTTATCTTTATTTTTTGATAACTTTTTACTTCTTGACATTTTTGACACTTTTTTTTGTTTATTGACATTTTAAATAGTTTTTTTATTATGTATTGACATTTTTGACAGTTTTTGAATTATAGGTATTTTGGCAATAAAAAAACTGAAACATGTCTAAAAACAAAAGAAACTGTCAAAAATGACAATAAATAAAAAATTGTCAGAAATGTCAATAAATAAGGAAAAACTGTCATTAATGAAAAAAACTGTAAAGAATATCAAAAAACTTAAAAATGTCAATAAACAAACAAAAAAAAAGTGTCAAAAATGTTAATAAATGAAAAAAACTATCAAAAATGCCAATCAATGTTTGTCATGTTGTCAAAAGTGTCAATAAATAAAATATCTGTCAAATATATCGCTGATTGAAAAAACTGTTAGAAGTCTCAATAAATAGAAAAAAACTGTCAATAAATGAAAAATTGTCAAAAATGTCAAGAAATGAAAAAACCTGTTCATAATGTTGATAAATAAACTTTCAAGAATGTTAATTAACATAAAAACTATCAAAATTATTTTCAAATGTTAATAGACGGAACAACTGTCAAATGTTAGTGAACAAAATAATTGTCAAATGTCAACAAACAAAATAATTACGAATTGTCAAAATGTCAATAAATTTAAAAAAAATGTCAAAAATGTCAAATGTCAACAAACAAAATAAATTGTCAAATTTCAATTGGAAAAACAATTGTCAAATGTTGATAAACAAAACAAATGTCGAATGTCGACAAACTAAACAACTATCAATTGTCAAAACTCAAAACTGTCTAAAATGTCAATAAATAAATAAACTGTCAAAAATGTCAATGAATACAAAAAAGTTGTCAGAAGTGTCAATAAATATACAACTGTCAAAAAGGTCGATGAATCTAAAAAATATCAAAAATGTCAATATGAAAAATAAAAAAAATTCAAAAATGTCAATAAACAAAAAAAACTGTCAAAAATCTTAATAGATAAAAAAAAACTGTCAAATATTCAAATTATAAAAGCTCGGTAAAAAATCAAGAAAAAAGATTTAATAAACGTTAAAGAGTATTTTTCAACATGTTGAAACATCATAAAATTCGTTGGAACATCATAAAAACTCGTTGAAACGTTTCAAAAACTTATTGAAACATCATAAAAAGTATTTTAAAAAATCTTAATCAAATCTCGATGAGTGTTGCAATATAAGAAACTCGTTGGAACATCATAAAAAATAATTGAAACTTTGTACAAAATTATAAAAACTCGTTAAAAAAATCAGAAAAATAGATTTAATAAACATTAAAGAGTATTTTCCAACATGTTGAAACATTATAAAACTCATTGGAGCATCATAAAAACTCGTTGAAACGTTTCAAAAACTTGTTGAAACATCATAAAAAGTATTTAAAAAAATATTAAATAAATTTAAACGAGTGTTGCAATATTAGAAACTCGTTGGAACATCATAAAAAATAATTGAAATTTTGTATAAAATTATAAAAACTTGTTAAAAAATCAGAAAAAAAAATTTAATAAACATTAAAGAATATTTTTCAACATGTTGAAACATTATAAAATTTGTTGGAACATCATAAAAACTCGTTGAAACGTTCTAATAACTTGTTGAAACATTATAAAATTTGTTGGAACATCATAAAAACCCGTTGAAACGATTCAAAAACTTGTTGAAATATCATAAAAAGTATTTCAAAAAATATTAAATAAACTGCAACGAGTATTGCAATATAAGAAACTCGTTGGAACATCATAAAAAAAATTGAAATTTTGTATAAAATTATAAAAACTCGTTAAAAAATCAGAAAAAAGATTTAATAAATTAAAGAGTATTTTTCAACATGTTGAAACATTATTAAACTCGTCGGAACATCATAAAAACTCGTTGAAACGTTTCAAAAACTTATTGAAACATCATAAAAAGTATTTTAAAAAATCTTAATCAAAATTCGATGAGTGTTGCAATATAAGAAACTCGTTGGAACATCATAAAAAATAATTGAAACTTCGTATAAAATTATAAAAACTCGTTAAAAAATCAGAAAAAAGATTTAATAAACTAAAGAGTATTTTTCAACATGTTGAAACATCATAAAATTCGTTGGAACATCATAAAAACTCGTTGAAAAGTTTCAAAAACTTGTTGAAACATCATAAAAAGTATTTCAAAAAATATTAAATAAATTTTAATGAGTATTGCAATATAAGAAACTCGTTGGAACATCATAAAAAATAATTGAAACTTTGTATAAAATTATAAAAACTCGTTAAAAAATCAGAAAAAAGATTTAATAAACTAAAGAGTATTTTCAACATGTTGAAACATTATAAAACTCGTTGGAACATCATAAAAACTCGTTGTAACGTTTCAAAAACTTATTGAAACATCATAAAAAGTATTTCAAAAAATCTTAATCAAAATTCGACGAGTGTTGCAATATAAGAAACTCGTTGAAACATCATAAAAAATAATTGAAACTTTGTATAAAATTATAAAAACTCGTTAAAAAATCAAAAAAAAAGATTCAATAAACATTAAAGAATATTTTTCAACATGTTGAAACATTATAAAAATCGTTGGAACATCATAAAAACTCGTTGTAACGTTTCAAAAACTTATTGAAACATCATAAAAAGTATTTCAAAAAATATTAAATAAATTTAAACGAGTGTTGCAATATTAGAAACTCGTTGGAACATCATAAAAAATAATTGAAATTTTGTATAAAATTATAAAAACTTGTTAAAAAATCAGAAAAAAAAATTTAATAAACATTAAAGAATATTTTTCAACATGTTGAAACATTATAAAATTTGTTGGAACATCATAAAAACTCGTTGAAACGTTCTAATAACTTGTTGAAACATTATAAAATTTGTTGGAACATCATAAAAACCCGTTGAAACGATTCAAAAACTTGTTGAAATATCATAAAAAGTATTTCAAAAAATATTAAATAAACTGCAACGAGTATTGCAATATAAGAAACTCGTTGGAACATCATAAAAAAAATTGAAATTTTGTATAAAATTATAAAAACTCGTTAAAAAATCAGAAAAAAGATTTAATAAATTAAAGAGTATTTTTCAACATGTTGAAACATTATTAAACTCGTCGGAACATCATAAAAACTCGTTGAAACGTTTCAAAAACTTATTGAAACATCATAAAAAGTATTTTAAAAAATCTTAATCAAAATTCGATGAGTGTTGCAATATAAGAAACTCGTTGGAACATCATAAAAAATAATTGAAACTTCGTATAAAATTATAAAAACTCGTTAAAAAATCAGAAAAAAGATTTAATAAACTAAAGAGTATTTTTCAACATGTTGAAACATCATAAAATTCGTTGGAACATCATAAAAACTCGTTGAAAAGTTTCAAAAACTTGTTGAAACATCA